CATATCAATACCATTCTATAAAGGCAATGATATAAAATTATCTATCTCTATCTGCACGAACTGTTGGTAGTTGACCATTGGCAGTTGTTTATAGGTACTCTAGCGGTAAGCTATTATTATACCTAAAAACATTCCCTGGGTCCCATTCTTTCTTTAGGGATACAAGGCGAGGAAGCTTTTCTTTGCTGTAGATCTGTTCAACTGTTTCATCTCCATGAGCATAGCTCACGTACACAGAAAGGTCATCGAACCCCAACGTTTTGGTAAAATCTCGCCGAAGTTCGCGAGCAAGAATATTTGCGGCTTCTTCCACAGAACTACCTAGATCTGACCAGCTCATTTGAAACATGCTATATAATTAAGGTGTTAGATCAGAAAATAGATGTCTCAAAGTTTACCTTGGGTAGATAATGATATGAGCAAGGCACACGTATAAGTTTCCTCTTGCATTCCTCCAAGGATAAGCCGTTGAATCAGCCGACACAGAGCTGACAGCGTGAGTAGAAAAGGTTTCTAGTACACCAACACTGGATCGTCCATCGGGATATGCCCTATAAAAGGCGTCGAATTTGTCGCAGGTCGAGTTCAGCGTGCTTAATTCAAACTTACGAACATTGGCCGAATATATGTCGTGAATCCCTCCTGGTGTACTGACAGCAGGAATCCAGCCAAAGAGTATAGTGGGAAACAACTCGATATATGGCACGACGCTTACGCGGACGATGGAGGGGATCTAAGTCGAAAAATGGTGCAAGAATCTAGCCCAAAATAAATCTGGGTTTGAACTGATCGACGCTTCAACGAGATTCCCGTTTGCCGTAATGAGTCTCACGGATAGGAGAGAATCGATTATCAGACCGAAGAGGCCTTGGAAGACTCCTACGCCACCGCCGAGCGTTGCACCGATTAGGCCGACATGAGGACACGAACCAACGGCTACGATTTGTTAATATGCTATTATCAACTGGTGAAGTCCCCAAAACTTACCGAGCTCATATCCGGCTTCATAAACGGGGCGCATAGCATCGCCAATTCGAACCCCAGCGCCGACTGTTACGGTACCAGCAGCTTTATCAACCTCGATCGCCTTCAATTGGCTAAGATCAATAGCCAGTCCGCCTTGCAGTTTTCCTGGTGTAGTACCATAACCATGACGACCCCCCCGTAGCCAGAAAAGGGATGTTTGCAGCTCTTGCAACCTTGACCTAAAGTGAATCAGCCACCGTGAAACTTTAGTGAATTATTAGACATACTTACAATGTCCGCTATCGCTTCCTCATTCAATGGAGTAATGGCCGCTGCGAACTTTGGGGCTTTATATATAGACCACCGCAGCATTGCGACTACAAATGCTTCTGATCCCGAGTCCCATTAGGCCACTGTATATCTCTTCGTAAGGATAGCCACTCCATTGTATAAATAACCCTAGGTATATAGTAGTTTAGATATTGAAAACAGTGGTTACAGCGATATGGGCTGGTATGTTCAAATCGCCCGTTTTACGTGTTACTCTACTCGCCATGGGCGTGCAATCCTCCCAGCAGATCACAGGTACTAACTCGATATTATATCTGTACGTTCGTTCCATATATTGTATGCTAATGATATGCTCAACGATCCCTAGCCATCCCTTTTTGAGCGTGGAGGAATCACAGACCCGAAGACAGCCAACTTAGCTACAGGAGGGGTTGGCATGGTCTTGTTTGTCTTTTCTTGGATCCTGATCTTTTTATTCGACCGTCTTGGACGCAAGACATGGCTACAGATAGGCCTGGTTGGAATGTGTTGTGCGATGGTAGGCATCGCCGTCTTGCAGTGGCACGCCGAGAGAAATCTCGACTCTAATGGAAACTACGCTATTGTTGCTTTTCCGTATTTGTTATATGTGTTCTTCAACATCAGCTGGGGTGTGGGAAGTTGGACATACGCTACAGAGATCTTCCCCGTCGTGTATCGGGCAAAAGGAAACGCTATTTCAACCGCGAGCCTTTGGCTGAGCTGCTATGTGGTAGCGCAGGCAAGTCCCCCAATAGCCGCATCCATCGGCTGGGGTCTTTATATCATTTATTCCTGCATCTGTGTAGTTGCATTTATATTCGTACGATACGCGATTGGTAAGCATAAACACCGTTTCTTCTATCACTAGGTGTAACAGTCGCAGTGGAAACGAAAGGGAAGACGCTTGAAGAGATGCCTGCTCTTTTCGGCATCGAAAGTAAGCTAGCAAGTAGGAGTAGAATGGAAGTCGACGGCAAAATCGGCGTTGCTCATCTTGAGGACTCTCCGAGATGAGACTTGTCTAACTACCTGGACTCCCTTACTAGTTACTTAAATCATCAAAGCTCGTACATCTTGACCAAGATAATGATACCCGTCATCGAGTAACTCCCCAGCCATATCAAGAATTCTCCACAGTTTCTTGCTGGTGTTTAACATTCAATCGTTTTACTCCGTTCAGATCGCCTTTGGGACACCGCTGTTAGTTGTAAGCGTATTTGTCCCACCGGGAGTAGCCGAATGATGGGCAGTTCCGTGGGCGGCTCCATCTGTCCTCGGAACACCTTTATGCTCCCATTCACGTTGAGCAAACATATTGTCGACATTTTTAACGTCTTGCTTCCCTTTCTCTGCAATCGCTCGATTCTTCGTTTGCGCTGTTTGGGTTTGCGGATGGTTTTGGTTATTGTCAAATGCTTGATCCGTAACCTCCATTGCCTCGCCTCGAATGGCGTCCCCAGCTCCGCGAATACCTTTGAGGCCAGTTTTGACGTCATCTATTAACTTTGACATGGTTGCGGCTTAGTTCGAGATAGGAAGTTTAGACGCGCTCGTACGATATGAGATGTCTGAATTCAATGATATTATCTAATAACGGGCGGGATCTGCTGCCTGATCCTAGAATAAACAAAGAAATATCGAAAAGTTTTCAAGATACCTGGGCAGGTTAAATAAATACCAACGCAAGCCTCTTATTGTGACACAACTATCAAAAGACACATCCATTTGTTCGAAGCATGGCAAATGACGTATATACATCACACTTCCATCCAATTAGATGCCAGATGACGCTCCACAATAGGCAATTCTTTAGCTACCTGGCTGTGTACATAGTAGCTATGGGATGTGATCTGATGTCATAAGTTATTTGTCAATGGATATGTACCTCCTAAAGAAACATCTTGCCAATGGCAAGATAGGTAGCATTGCTTAGAAAGCGACGCGCCACAGGTCTATCTTCGTTAAGGTACCATAGCGGGAAAATATGGTAGGGTTTAACCGTTGTAATATTAAAATGCTTGAAGTTTATAATGTTTCCTGATCATTACATAATGCTTGATTTTTGCGTAATGGTTGCGAAAAGTGCAACGTTAACAGTATTAAATTATGTTTTTTATATATAAGGTTTAAATTTTACATAATTAATAAAGTAAAATGGTATAATGGTAAATATTGCGCTTCGGAAATCATTTAAAAAAAAGTGGGGTAATTTTTTGATTTTTTTGATTTTTTTTTAATTTTTTAAAATATTAATTATTGTTATTATTGTTAGCATTGTACTTTCCTCAAGCATTGCGCAAAAATCAAGCATTATGCAATATTGACTTTTGATCAGGGAACATTATAAAATCCAACCATTTTGTATGCAACAATACGTATTTATAAACAGGTAATCCCGGTACGGTACCTATTAGTGCTGGCTTTCGCCTCCTCGCACTTAAAAAGTGCTGCGCATTAATTAAGAAAACGGGCAAGACTATAAGTACCCGATCCGAGGTACACCCGAACGGGTAGGCTTTTTACCTATTTCGAAGTATTTTTAAATACCGTTAAATTTTGTACATTTGCCAGTAGGTGATGCCCGAGTTTACGAGGGATATTGTCAGACGATCTTTTTGCCTGGCTTTTTTTCGAAATAGAAAGTTCGTCCGTGCGCAGCGTTTGAGCATTTTTATTGGGTGCATCCTCGAATTCTCACGTGCTTTTCCAGATCCCCACTTCCATCTTTTTCTCGAAATACGTATCTTTTTTTTGCCCGATTAATTACGTAACCACGTATTATATACCTAAGTAACCCAAGTTTTACAAAAGCCTGGGTTCGAATCCCACATGCTCCTTTTTTTTTTTTTTGTATTTTTCATTTTTTAAAAGAATTTTAGCAAAGCTTAATGTTCGAGGTTTTTCGCCGCTGCTGCCGGGGAAGGGCGCTCGGCACGCTTCGCGCGCCGAGCGCCCTTCCCCGGCAGCAGCGGCACGTGATTGACCTACGACTTTCGTAAACTCGGGCTATTGTGGTGCCCCGCAGGGGTGCCCTCATGTTTTGAAGACTCGAATAACTTCCTTATTGGCTCGGAGACTATTTTTAGTCTTCCCGTTTCCTTCATAATTAGGTACCTTAGGTAGGGACTGTTGTAGGTGTAAAATGATGTTGATTCATTTATTAAGTTCATAATAACTGGGCTTTGCCCAGTATAACTCAGTAATTACGTAATACCCACCACAGAGGTACCTATCTTCTTATTTTCAGAAGCTACCTGTATAAGTCATATCATACTGCGTGGCCAAGTCTGACGAGAACAAAGTAGAACCGATAGCAGTATTAATAACAGGTACCTAGTATAAAGTATGCAAATACTTTGAGAAGTTTAAAGGCTTCAGACGAACTAAATTATTTGATCCCATTTATTTCTCCATATCATTCCACCTCTTCCCTTCCCTTTTTTTCTTTTCCATATAAGCAGCCCGCCAATTCAACAATCGTGTCGGAATAAAATTGATCGAGAATGTGTAACTTTGTGCCTTATGCCAAAGATGATCACGACTTTCACGGTAAACTTCGACTTGATTAATAGCTCGGGCTTTTAAAATCTGCTTGTTGCAATTTCATAGGTGGGAGTGTACCGCGATTGTATATAAATATTCCGTACATTCGAATCATCAGCTCAACATTTGCGTAGCTAGGCTGGGAACGTCCATGTAAGGATATTGTCTCCACGTGTGCTAGTTCATATTTTATTATGGGACATTTCTATCAAGCAGTCTACCTAGTTCGAAATGGGCGATAACGCATAATGATAATAAAATGCTAGGCTAGGTTTCGCGACGTGGAAAAGGGACTAACCTAAGGAGGTTGTGGGTTCAGTCGCCGGCATATGATGTCGATCATCTCCAGCAGACGGTTCCACATCTCGAGATGGCCCTTGAAATGCCCCAGAGCTGAGCCAATCGGCTGACTTGGTACTGAGCTGTTCAACAACGGGGTATCGCCAAGAACACTTCCGAATCCTCGTATTCTCTGCCTTCGTATTGACCATATTGCAAATAGGCTACTACACATGCAGATGATGTCAGGTCGGGTTTCTCCTTTACAGAGCCCCAAAGACTTACAGTCTTGACAGAGAATGCTATAAAAGGCTCCGAGTATCTCTTTCATTTCGATACTACTTTTGGACACATCTAACTATTTCACCAAACCTTTATATCACTCTTTACATCACTCTACTTAATACATAACCGCCCATAATGTTCTTCAAGAACCTCGCCCTCGCAGTCCCCTTCTTCGCCGGGGCTTCAACTGCTATGCCGCAAACAGCCCCGGGAGCACCACTTTCACCTGGCGCCACGTTCTCGTTAATGGCTCTCCGGTCTGCTAGTGAGGTCCATTTTGCCGGTTTCGAAGCGGCCAAGGGGAGTCTCTTGTTGAAGCTTCCCAGCCAGAACGCTTCTTGCGATGCTGGCCCTGCCGACCACGCCACGTTCTTCCTTAAAGATGGCGGTCTCTACCTCTACGCTGCCTCCGCAACGCCGCAGCAGCTTTACGCCGATCGTTCTGGAATGGGTATGTTGAATGGCATCTTGCTCTTCTCAATTTCAGGGTTTTTACTGAAATATATACTAACCTTTTAACTTATAGGCCAGGGCAAGCTCGGATATACAACTGGCGCTCAGCCGGCCCCTAGAAACGGCGAGAGGACTTCCTTCGCGCTCGATGAAGCAAACGACTTGACGCTTAACGGAGCAGGATTCATCGCTTGCCCCAATAGCATCGATGGTGCTTGGAGTGTGTGGGTTTCTGCGGGCGTCGACCAGCCTGCTGGAAACGAGGGGTGCCTCGGAATCTCGGCACGTGCCGTAGAGGTTTCTAACCCTAACGGTTGCCTATATACAGAGTAATTAGTTGGGCCGGCGGAATCTATCAGACTGTATTTATGTAAATCGAATCTAACTACCTAGGTTAGATACATACTTAATTATCTAAGCACCTAATTATTCTTAAATCTGTCAGCAAGTTCAAGGCATCTCGATATATGATTTGTAGTTGAATCGCATTTATATGATCACAACGCATGCATACTAGTCGTATTTTAGAATGAGCACCTACCTACTAGTCTAAACAAACATATGGCAACTTCTGGGGGCTATTTGTGCCCTATCTATCCATGTTTTTTCTGGACTAGGGATCTCGTTTAATCAAGGCAAGAATCCCCAGTGCGTTCTACGATATAATCAGGGGACAATGAGCCATTCCTCGGGCAACCACTGCGCCAATTCGACAAGTGCGAGTATCAACACTGGAAAGGATGCGTTTGGCATAGGTAAAGAGGTGGTCTCCTGTATTGTTAAGTAACAGTGGTTATGGGTCAAGAGACTTGGGGCAAGGTAGGCTCAAGCAAGTTGATGGCCATCCCATGGAAAGGATAGGGATAGAGACACTTCACAAATGCGGTAGCTCCGTTGGAATATAGGAAAACTAAGCAGTACGATTCACTATGAGCTTTCTGCGATTTTCAATATCGGCTATCTCGAAGTAATAAGGAATATCAAGGCAGAGTAAGGCCGGTGTCCGACTGTCATCAATCGACTGACATCGCGAAGCGATGCTCCCTAAGTGATTCGCGAGTTTATCAATGATTCATTGGACATTAGTCTACGATTCCCTCGCCAGTTTCCTCATCCATGTCATCCTCCTGTGTGATATCCTTCTTTCCAGACTCAGAGTCATCATCATCATCATTGACGGTCTCCTTGGAGAGAGCTAGCTTCTTGCCACGAGCGCGCTTTCTCGGAGTCGAAGTGATGGGATCGTTACCATCCTCCTCATCGTTGCGAGCAACCTTGCGCTTGCGTGAGGCGGGAGTAACCTTGGCCTTGGGGGTACGCTTGGCAGGCGTGGCTGGACCCTCGTCACCATTCTCAATTTTCTTCTTCACCGCTGTGACAATAAGTTAGAATTAGGCATGAAATCCCCTTTGAAAACTCGGTAGTTGACGGCACGATGGCCGTATATCTACATTTCACCCAACGGACTAGCAAAATAAGAAAAACTCACCGTAGAGGACATTCTGCACGCTTTTGGTGTTGGTGTAGTTTGTAAGCTTGGCGAGCTTGTCATAGTCAACCTGTAAAGTATATGTTAGTATGTCACTTTACACGCGATACCTATGCGGTGGCCTAGAGATAGTAGATCTGGAAACCGCTTACCTCGGGGGGAGTCTTAAAGCACTTCCAAGCCATGGCAAGCACTAGAGCCTCCTTCTCAGTGATTTCGTTTTTCTTGTCGGTGGATGCCATGATGACAATAGTGCCGAATTCGGGTTCAAGCAGGTTGTCAAATGATATTATGATTTGGTGGTTTGGTGGTTTGGTGGTTTGGAGGTTGAGAATAGAAGAAAAGACGGTAGGATGGGTGATGTTTGTGGTGGTGGTGTGAAGCGTACGAAAAAGTTGTAAAGAGAAGGAAGGTAGGCAACGATGAGGGTGGTGAGGAAGCTTTGACGGAGGGGTTCAAGGAAGTTGTAGATGCGCTTGGTTGATTGTGACAAGTTTGCTTTTTCTAATTGTATTTTTCATAAGTCCTACGGAATGACTTGTAACTTGTCGATGCGTCCGCGACAGGATTATCAAGCTTGCCTTGCTGCCGGTATTATTATGTTATGCAAATAAATAGGTAAGTAACCAGGTTAGGTACGCAGCCTTACCCCTCGTGTTCCATCAGCTACGAAGATATATGCTGACATGAATATAAACCCTTGAACTGAAGAACAACGGTAGTTTCTTCTATATTCTTCTATAAATATTGGCAGGGATTGCCGCTAAATATTCAAATTTATTTTTATCATCTCCCGCTCAACGTTCGCATCCTTTTTCTTGAATTCTAACCTTCGGTTCGGCCAATATGAGCCGCGGGTATTCCGAATTTTGCTTAATGCCAAACATTCCAATGCGAGGCAAACTGCACTGACTAGGACATCACGCGTATCCCCTATTAATGTTCGTTTGAGTAGTATTAACAGATAATTGGAAAGATGGAGACATCTAACCGGGTATTATGCTCCCCATTATTCTTTCTATAACGCTTAAATAATTCTTATAACATGAGATGACTACTGTAACCCGATCATGTCTGGAGGCTAGGGCGGTTCATCGTTGTGCCTGTCCGAGCACTTGCATTCTTGTTCGTATCCGTTGTTCCTCTTCGTCTAAGTCCGCCAATTCCATTAGTCGAGTTCTTCTGGCATCCAATTTCGCTTGTTCAGCCATTAGATGTGCCATTTCCTGTTGCACTTGCGGCTTGTCGGTACTTCCTATAGATTGCGCAAGTCTCTCATTCCCAGGCATCTCGGCTACTGCTAGCTCACCGGCAGCTTCGTAGTGGCTGGTAGGAGGATTGCTATTGGAACCCGAGTGCACCGGCATTGGTTGGCCGTTAGAAAACGTAGGATTTCGAAGTTGAGTTGGCTGTGACCCTGGGACGGATGGTAATTCCTGGCTGTTAGGTGCGTTTGGTCCGTTGATAGCAGTGCCCCCCAACTCAGTAGGTTGGGGAACCGCGGAATAATAAGTTGCGGCACCAGTTTTAGGGTCGACATAAGTTGAATATCCGGGATAGGTAGTCTGGGAATATCTTTGGATCGGTTGTCCAGCAGGTACCGAACCAGGCATATAAGGGTACTGATGAAATGGATATTGGCCCGGAGGAGGCTGCCGCATGAGTGGAGGCTGACCGGCGGCCTGTCCGTTCGAACGCTTCTTCCGGTACCTGAGTATAAAGAAGATCGCTAATCCAAGACCTAAGAGACAAAACAGGCCCACGCCGACACCGATCCCAACTTGAGCGCCAACAGACAAGCCGACACCGTTGCTATCCGGATTTGCAGATAGCCCTGTCACTGTTGTGCTAGATGATGACTGGGTCCCTGATACGTCGGTCTCGCCACCCAAAGTTCCTGCCGCCAAAGTCAAGCCAGGCGTCAAGGGATGCGTTTCTAAGATAGAAAGGTCACTCGACGCCCAACGTATCTGTATCATTACTTGTGCATCTATAAGGGCGCATCAGTGATTACTCTATCCCATGGGAAATATAGGGATGTAGGGATGTAGGGACTGAGAAACTCTTGACGGGTCAAGGGGGACCTTCAATATAACATACACGATAAGTCGGTGTTAGTTGCGTAGTAGTTCCATTCATCGGGAGTACATGAATAATCACTATTAAGAGTTAAGCCTTGTTATGACAAGCTAACCTAGCCGATGGTGAGCCTACCTCATAACGCAAAGAACAGCTGTTTCAGTGGGTTCGACAGATGGGCCTTGAAAATTACCGTATCGCGAACAGCCAACGGTGAACCCACTGGGACATATGGCGGGAGAATAGTAGTACGTCTCGAAGTAACTAGCGTAGCCAGGAGGAGCGCATTCGGGATTAGAAGTCCAAAACATATCGATGTCCGTCGTAGGACGGGTAGAAACCGGAAAGCAGCCATCGGAAGGCGTCCATACCGTAGTCAGCGCGGCTACGGGTGGTGTGCCGTCATGATTAAGAGAAGTCGCCCGCGGTGCTAGAGCGGTTGGCGTGATCGTTGTTGTGAGCGGTGCGAATCCCATTGTAATAATTATGGGGATAGATCGGAACGAATGACAGCCCACAATGCGACGATGCGAAGCGTGATGAATGAATGATCTTCGTCACGTAGAGACCAGGAAATGGTTTCAACCAATTGTTAAGAATCAGAGGAGCGAGGAGAAGAGAGAAGACTCGCGCAATCCTTAGGAGACATTTTCCCAAATTCTTCTCTCTGACCGTCTCTATCGTCCCATGGCGTCTCGACCATTTAGTCAATTCTCGTCAGAGCACACAGGGCTTAAAGCCTTCTTGGCACTGTTAGCGACAACAGAGTCGAGACCAATGGCGGTGATGCTAGGAGACAAGGGCTGGGAAGTAAAGTCAATAAAGTTGGAGCTGGTTGCTTAATTCAGTCGCCAAGTGACCTTTTTCCCTTGCATAGGCACCTAGGGTAGCTTGCTTTAGTAGCATTACGAGCGATTTTTGTACAGCTCATCTCATGTTACCAGGGTCCAAGATATCTTGATGCGGGTTCTTGGCATGTAAGTTCGTGCATGTTAACACATATACGGCAGTCTATTATTGCGGGATAGGTCATGCAAAGAAAGTTGGACTCATGTCGAGACTATGCCGTAAGAAATAATCTATATCTGGATCTGAATATGGAAAAGCCAACAAAATACACCTTAAAGGGATGGGGAACGTGGGGAACGGACCAACTTCATGCTAGTGTAGACCGGACAAGAACGTTCAGAATCCTAGGCGGAAGACAGGGGTTATTTCAGCTGTAGTCATAAATCAAGCGAGAGGGACCGGGAAATGAAACGTCTCATTGCATTAAATCTCTGGACAACGTGAGTTGCTCTACGTATATTATATGTTCGGTCTTCCAATCCTATCGTCCTACACATGATAATCGTGGGGCAGGCGGTGGGGAGCTCTGGTAGCTGGATCATACCGTCTCGATCTGAATATACTTAATACTTATCATAGTCAACTAGGTAGTCACTAGGTTGGGTTGGTAGGATTTACTCAAATTATTAGGACACCTAGATCAACCGTTTGGTATATATAACTACTTCTATTAAGCAGCTTATATACCTGTTTTCTTGCTATTACTCATACAGTCCATACATTCTCCCTATTTGAGGTTCCCAGATTGCGTGTAATCGTAGGCGCGCTCCGGTACCTAACGCTCTGCCGCCAACTCTTCTGCACTAGTCGGGACGCGGTCTGCTGCAGAAGGATATTCGGTGCTGCCCTTCCCTCTCGTGCCTTTCTCCACGCCCTCAGGCAGGTCTCCCCCTTTCTGACGGACGCTATCACCAACACTCGCCCCAGCACCTTCTAGCCCAGCATGCTCCTTCTTTCGTCGGTTGGTATAATCACCATGTAGACTGCCGTGCAGCTCAGCTCCCGATTGGCCCTGGATTGGTTTACCTAGACCGGTATGGACGGCTTGAGATGTAGTACCGCCGAGGCTATCCACGGGATCGGTCAATCTCTGGGACTCGACGTTCGGAGCATCGGCTGGCGTCTCGCCATCGGGTCGGGGTTGGTATGTGTTTTCCCGGGGCGCGGTGCCAGGTGGATACTTTTCAGCGTGGAACTCTGGCGCGGCATCGTTGCCGACCTTAACACCGGGTTTATGCCCGGTAGTTGTGAGAGGTTCCGCGGGCGGCACGCGGCTATGGAATTCGCCCTGATTAGACATGGATTCGGTATTTCTGGCTGCCGACATTGTAATCGCGTAGTAGTAAAATAGAGAGAGAGAGAGGAAGATATTGGATTAGGTTTCTGGATATAATTGAAAGAACTAGTCAGACCCATGTAGAGCTGTGGCCGTAGACCTTCATATATAATAAGAGGTAAGAGGATAGTGAAGGATGAGTGAGGTGACGTCACGAAGCTGTAATGAGGAGGTCTGACATAACACCGTTGCATCGACGGAGGACAAACGAAAGGTGATTCATGGAGAGAGTGATAATGTATGGCGTTTGCCTTCTGCATCGCGATCGACGTGATGACAACATCATCGGATCTTTTGCTGCGGATAGTAGATATTGATATGTATTACCTACTGATTACCTATCGATTACCTATCAGTTACCTAGGTCCTAGATGGGTGTTTTCTTTCGATCTAGAAGTCTTCGTGATAGTATTTATCCGAATCTGCGTTGTGGCTATCGTAGTTATTAGGTAAGTATATCGGAGTTGAGGCTCTACGAAAGAGCGTCATCAGCAGTGTATATCGATCGGGTGGTGCTAGGGCGCTAGGACGATGACAAGGTACCTGGCATCCTTTCCCGTGCACAGGCATCTGGCATGGGATTTCTTTGTACATACGGATTAGTGTATGTATATATCCCGTAGATAGTAGATGGTTGGTTAGCCAACCACCGATCTACGATTCCCTTGTGGGCCAAGAGAAAACCGAGCCCTCGGTGCGATTGTACGTTGCCATTTCCATTTCACGGCATAACTAGCACTTTAAACTTCCTGTAGTGTTTCGTGTATTCGAGTTGCAACCCTCTCATTCTAAAATGTGGAAGCTACCAACCTAGATATAAGACTTGGATAAATGGGATATAAAAATAAATACCTACACCCACATACGGACATTGTTAGTTAGGAGGTATGGACATGATCGATCGGCGGTTGCTGGGCCAAATTTGCTACCGTCGATTACCTACAACATCAACCAATAGAATGGGCCTACATATGTCGACACCTGCGATACTTAAAAGGCGCTTGGACTACGACTTGGGTACCCAGATATTCGGTTAGATTTGGCAGGTACTTTTCAATACGATGCAGGAACCAAAACAGGGATTCAAGCAGTCTAGATCAAGGAGGAGAACCAATATGAAGACTGCGGGGCCGGTCAGTAAATATTTCGTATATAGTGCACGGGAAGCGCATACCGAAAACTGGGAAAAGTTACAGTTATAGCTTTCCCGTGTTGATTTTTTGGCACTTATTCCACGGAGTTGTATTATTGTTGCATACCTACCTATGTAGTGAGATAGCAAGGGAAACTTTCCTGATATTGTACCTTGTTGATACCTTAGTACCTTTCCTAGAATAGAACTAGATCGGTACCAGTTCTAATTCTAGACAGGCATTGGGTTTGGATTTGTTGTGGTTGCATTCAAGTATTTTATTAACAACGACACTGGATATAAGGCACATGTAACCATACATAAGTACATCAATGCCGTGTAGTACAATACAGATGCATGTGTTACCTCTGGTTCATAAATCCACCTCAACTTTCTATCACCTGCTACTTCCCATTGTTTGTCCTTTCGCCTCCTACTCTTTCATCGCCCTTGCTGCCTTGGTCTCTACTGTATGTATATACAATCTACTGTGATTTAAGTGCACTTAGGTACTCTTGTTTACATGTACTAACGTTAGTTAACCCACTTGATCAGGGACTGGACCGGACCTTTTCGAGTCCCACTCCGAGTGCCGGTGACGATAGTTACCTCTTACATAGTACATATGTAACTGCACTTAATACCTAATATCGAATTGAACCTTGGAAGGTCCCGCACTTTCGTTCCCCTTGTTCTACTTTCTTCTTAAATCATGAGTCGTCGATACTCTTTCAAGTCTGAACCTGACGAGCGCGATCCCCTCGACAATTCAAACGACCCGAACTATCGCTACGCACATTCCAGTCGCCAGCAACACTCTCCCTCTCGTCCCTCCCATCCTTCCTCGCCAACATCTCAGTCTCATTTCTACCAAGATTTTCCAGCTTCCTCTTTCGAGTCGTATCGCCATCCAGCGCACCCTTCGCCCACGAGAGCATCAATACACCCCGGCGCTCACCCCGACTCAGCATTCAACAGGCTACGCCAGAATAGAAGATATAGCGGAGGGGTAGAAAGAGTTGTTGCGCCTAGGACCGAGATTAGAGCTGGAGCTGGAGCTGGAGCCGGAGCCGGAGCCGGAGCTTTAGCTGGGGGAGCCTATGCTGCGGGTCACCCATCTTTATCTGGACCCGTCCCGCCGTCCCACCGCGAGAACAATATATCTACTCGGGGACGCGAGCCCCCTCAGTCTAACATCACTCCTGGTGCCGACAATTTTAGCGAGGCTGCCGCTGGTGGCATGTCCGGTCTAGCTATGAGTGTTGCTGATAAGAACGCACGAGAAAGTGGACTGGAAGCTATGAGACCAGCTCAGCAATATACAGAACCACAGCGCCAGCAGGCCCCTTACTCGGATGTCTACCAAGCTACGCCATCGGAGCAAGCTCCCTACGACGAGCCCCAGGGTCACGCATACGATCGAAGCTATGACGTGTCGCCGGGATACGGATCCGGACCCTATCTCTCATCCGGTCAGGCCTACAATTCCTCGCCCAGTCTAACTCCATTAGCAACTGCGGCCGTGTCTCATTTGGGCCAAGTGACGCCAACTTGGGGCATGCCGGGCTACTCTGGTGATCCATTCCGGGATCCTCATATGACGTACGGCCAGAGGATGGATCCTAGGCTCGGCCAGTTCAATCCGAACGACATTGACGATGACGGTGATGACGGCCTCGAATACCGACGTTCCACTCGGAATAGCATACTGAGTCTAGGGGGGTCGAGTCATCGAGGTGGCAACGGCGCTGCAGCCGGTGTCGCTGGTGCTGCGGCCGCCGGCGGCGTAATGGGTGGACTCATAGGAAGGAATCGGAATAGCGGTATTAATTATGACCCAGTACAGAATACGAGTTCTGCTGGCAGGCTTGGCGACATAAGTGGTGGATATAAGACGGGCACCGGGACAGAGAAACAGTCCGAATGGTTGTCCAGTCAAAATAACAGCCGCAAAAAGTGGAAATGGTTCGTTCTGATTATCGTCGGCCTTGTTATCGCTGGTGGAATAGCAGGTGGTGTCGTCGGGGGAATCTTGGCTAGTAGAAACAAAGGTGGTGGTAGTTCGGGCAGCTCTAGTGGAGTTCAATCCGCCGAGTCGGACACAGCTATGAATGGGGATCTGGACGACACATCTAATGAGATTCAAGCGCTAATGAACAATCACAACCTGCACAAGGTCTTTCCCGGTGTTGACTACACGCCTATCAACGTTCAGTTCCCGGATTGCCTTAAGAACCCGCCTTCCCAGAATAACGTTACCCGAGATGTTGCTGTCCTCTCGCAGCTAACAAATACCATTCGACTCTACGGCACCGATTGCAACCAAACGGAGATGACGATCCATGCTCTACGACAATTAAAGCTCGAGAATGATATCAAAATATGGCTTGGAGTATGGCAAGACGGAAACGACACTACAAATGAGCGCCAACTAAGCAAGATGTGGAACATCTTGGATACGTACGGGGCTGATCCATTCAAGGGACTCATCATTGGCAACGAGATCCTGTTCCGACAGCAGATGACCGCTTCAGAGCTTAGTAAACTACTGGACTCGGTGAGAACCAACTTGACAAAGCATGACTGGAATCTCCCCGTCGCCACGAGCGATCTTGGTGACAACTGGGATTCGCAACTGGCCAGTATAAGCGACTACATCATGGGCAATATCCATCCTTTCTTTGCCGGTGTCAATGCCAAGGACGCCGCTTCTTGGACGTGGCAGTTCTGGGAGAACAAGGCCCACGGATTCTTCAAGACGGAAACCGAGAAGAATATTATCTCCGAGATCGGCTGGCCGACGAAGGGTGGAATTAATTGTGGTGACGACAAGGTAACAGACTGTCCTAACGGATCAGTGGCTGGCATCGACGAGTTGAATACGCTGATGGAGAATTGGGTTTGCCAGGCCCTCGAGAATGGAACCAACTATTTCTGGTTTGAGATGTTTGACGAGCCTTGGAAAATCAGCTTCGATACGCCCGGAAAAGAATGGGAAGATCAATGGGGCCTCATGGATGTCAATAGGAACCTGAAAGAGGGCGTCAAGATTCCGGACTGCGGAGGTAAAACAGTTTGAACGGTGGGGGGGAATGGCTACTTGCCTCTTTTCTTTGAACGGGCACTGTGATCGACTTGATAAACAAGCCGTCACGAATAGCAGCCTGGCTAATACTCTTGACGGGATACCTCACATGATCTTCTTGAACTCGAAAACGGTACAGGGTTGTATTATACTAAGAGACGACGGTATACGCAGGGGTTATACGAGAAGCGGCGGAGATGGGAACTCAACCGGTAGCATATAGATGTCTCGGCTTAAGTGTCGTTTATGGTTCATGGTTCTACCGACACGATTCCTGGCGCAGAGGATTGGGAGAACAGAGCATTAGACAGCATCAATGGAGGGTATGACTACCTAGGTGGCGTCAAGATGGTAATTATCATCGTGTACGCATAGCATTATCATGGGTTACAGTTCTGCCATTACGGTATTGCGGAGCCTCCGGTTCGGTTCGGTATATACCTATTACAGGCTTACTCGGAGACTTGGACTCTCGAGTGTGTAGTTTGTTGTCGGGGGCCGGGTTAACTGCGTTCACTTTGAGGTATGAGGTAGATGATCAATACGTTTAAAAGCTATCAACTAGGATTGCATGAAAGTCTACTCATTACCTAACATCTACACATTATGGATTCATGCGATTCCATTCCCAGCTCGTCAATATGTCTTTCCGCCTAGGATGTACCTAGGTACGTACACACTTGACATATGTAGGTACCTATGTACGCAGATAATGACGTCACATGACTTGGTGTCGCTTTAGCGATCTGCACTTACAGAAATGTGGAAATGCTCCACCGTCCCTCTGGAGAGAACGCGCGTGGCACGGCACATTGCCCCGAGTGGTTCGTCGAGTTAACCGGCTCTATTGGTAACATCTACGTCACCTACATCGCATAGCAGCCTACCTGCACTTATCCTCATGCCCAATTTGCTTCACACCTTTTGAAGGCACCGAAGACGCCGTTTATTGCCGTGCGACCTGCGAGCAGAATATCCATAAAGAATGTTTCGAGATGTGGGCAATCACCAAACGAAAGAGCACCAGGGACCAGGTAACTTGTCCTATGTGTGCCGCACCCCATGGCAGGGCGACGATGATACAGTCAAGAAGACCAAGAATAAGGGCATCATCGGCTCCGATGGCTACGTAAACGTCGCTGATCAGCTTGGAATCAGCCGCAGAAGAGGTGAGTCGATGTAGCAACGTGCTATAACCTTATATACCTAGATACCCAAGTCTCTACGAGGTAACCATCTAGGTAGGTACCTTATAAGCTAATATATGGTTATAGACCACAGTACCTACTATGATGGACCGCATCGAGGTATAGGTTATAGGAGGTGGTGAAGTATGCACTCGCTATCGGGCTCTCGGCGTGGTTTCTGTCAGTTAGATTGTTGCAGTATCCTTATAAAAGTCTAGCACACTGCGGCGCGGAGTTCCGAAGCTACCTATTTTAACTAATATCGCGAACAGCACGGGGTATATAGCATGATAACCAGCTGAGCCTCCCGACCCCGTGGGATCCAAGACTAAACGTGTTTCCAGTGCCAAGGAAGATCATACGCTGGGTATATACTGAACAAGAAAATTCCATCGAATCTTCCCCCGTTCATCATATTGCGCTACAAATCACCCTTGCTACACTCCATTTACGTCTTATCTTGCCAAGCAGTCAATAGTAGGTACCTAAGAGCAAATATTTAAATTATCAGCTATAGACTAGCTAGTCCCCCTTTCCACTAATACTCGAAGCTAATATCAGCCTCTTACCTAGCTTTTACCTAGCTTTTCAGATCATACCAGTATCTTCGAAGTCTCAATACCTCTCCGTCCCTGGTTAAAGAGTCAAACAAAGAATTAGAAAGTAATCAGGTCCTCCTCTCCAACATCACTACTCAGTCCCACCGCAGCATCGCCCTCCACTTCGTTGTCACTCTTCCTCGCAACAAAGGTTGTGTCGCTATAAGTGGGTAATTCCCATTCCGGCTTGTCAGCCCGATATCCTGCAGGCGCGGTCGTAATATTAGAGGACCACGAACTTTCTCGAGGTTGCGAATGAGAACCCAAGGTAATCCCTCCCGCCTGCAGCTGTGATGGCGTTACGTTGGTGTCGTGTTGCCGTAAGCCACCCGGGGCTGGGGGTATGGCTGAGCCGTATTTAGCCGGTGCATTAGAGATACCACCATGACCAAAGTTCAACGAACTAGTGCCGAGGACAACTGTCTCTACGTCATCCTTGAAGGTAAGAACTCCATTGTTGTCCTTCTCGGGTGACGGTGAAGTCCTGGCAATAATACCTTTCCCGACATTGCGCACACCATGGTCGTCTAATGTTACTGGCCTGAAGGTGTCTTGAATCGCAGTCCCGGCGAGCGGATGAGAGGATCCCGCTAGAGCTTCTCTTGATGTCTTCTCATCATCCCTTTGAGCATCGAAGGCGGCCCATCCATACCCCAGTCCTGGTCTGGAGCCAAGGGGGCGTCGACTACCTCGTAGATTGCCTCTATCACTCAACACCGCACTCGCGCGACGTTGGTCCGGGCTTATGAATGGTGCAACACGGGATTTATCGTAGTCCACGCCCGGCTCCTCTACGCCGAGGGTCCCATTCTCAGGTAAAAACTCATCGTGAGGATAAGCGCCAGTGAAGTCAGCACAGCTACATAGACATCTATCGCCACAAAAACGTTGGCATCTATGACCACACGAGAGGACTCGTTCGCATGGTTCTCGACAGATCAGCTTATCATGTGTTGCCCTGGAAAGACGAGGTTAGCTTTGCTGCAATAAACCGCCATAGGAACATAACGTGTGTACATACCAATGGCATTGACGTCCGCATAAATGGCCACAACTAAGCCGGTCTGGACATTTCAGATCGCAACCGCCGTGACAGTTAACCCAGTCTTCTGGGTGCGACATCCAAGTTGTCCTGTGATGCTTCTGACATGTGATTGGGAAACGAGATTTATCTCCAAATCGACCCTGCGCTTCAAAGACTTGTTGTACTTTCCCCCACATGTTCCATGATGTTTCGCTCGCACGCGCCAGATTAAGCATATTGCCAAAGACGTAAAAGCCGCGGCGAGCTCGACTAATTGAGACAACACCACGGTTCTCATCTTGGAGGAAGCCTGCTTGGTGCGGTCCGTCACGACCCTTGCTTCTCACTAATGACAAAATAATAATGTCGTTTTCCTCTCCTTGGTACGAGTCCACCGTGAAAACGTTCGTAAAGGGCGCCCATCGTTTCATCTTGCTCTTGAACTGAGAGATAATTTTCTTCTTTTGACCTCGGTAGAACGTCAGAACGGTGATTTGGCTTGCTGGTATACCGTTCATGAGTAGATAGTCTATGAAGTGGATTATCATCTCAGCCTCTAGGATATTGAACTTGCTCAAGTTCTCATCCTGGCCCTCGGTCCAATAATGATGGAAGAAGAAAGAAGGGTACATCATCCCAGGAATGGGCGGTCTAGCATGGCCCTGGGTCACCACGGGATGATCTTGAAGGTCTGGATAAAATGGGTTCAATATTTCACGTAATGTCGGGATCATTCTCCGCTGCATGTTCAGGAAGGTGAAAGGCATATTCAGATAGACAAGGCGTTCAAACATAGACACCCGCATACAGAACGGCTCCCCCCCTAGGCCGGGCGTATCGCTATGCGGAGCCAGCTGTTGATGATCGCCGACTAGAATAAGTTGCTGAAGCGATTCGTACAATGCCGAAAGGATATTTGCCTCCCGTGTCTCAGCTGCCTCCTCGATTAACATAGTGCGCGGCCGGAGGGCAGCTAGCAAGCCACGATACTTGCATAAGCCCGTGGTAGTGCACCCTATAATCTCAATGTGCTGCGATTTGATGCATTGTGTATCTTTGTACCAGCGGTTGACCTTGAGATTCTTTGTGATTCGAGCGTTGTCGGCAAGTACGTCGCGAAACCTTTGGCGATGCCGTAACAGTAGCTCCTTCTGCCAGAACTGATAGACGGCACCGCGATGCTTAACGTCTACGTCCCACAGATTCGGCTTACGAAGCTCTCTGCGAACGACAAGGTCGTCCTCGGTGTAGTTGTGGGTATTTAAGCCTGTCCATAGATGCTTGATTGGCAAAAACCTGCCTTCTATGCGGCCAGTGTTCTCATCCTCATCATCAATACAGTTGTCGAGCTCCATATCGTAATCCTCCACGTCCATATCAATACTATCATGGTCTTCGAATGCTTCGAATTCGGGATCTTCCTCGTCCTGCCGCTTCGCCTTCACTAGTTGATCTCCTAACCACTCCGCCAACAGGCCGGGTGGCCGGTCCCGTGAGGATGGCGTGTCGGCCCATTCCTGTTCGGCAAGGAGAGACTCGAGCTGATTCTCCGATATCACACCCGTAGATCTCAAGATCTTGGGATCGATCAAGTTATCGGGGAAGACATTGTCGATAATCTTTTCCAACTCTGCGATATTCCTCTTACGAGCCGACTCGAATGTTCTGAAATCTCTATCTGCTCGAGGGTTCAATAGCGTCCTGGCGCGCTTCCGAAGGTTGTACATGCTGTAACGTTTGATCTCCTCGTTCTGAGTGCGTCCACCAAGCCGTACAACCTTAAAGCCGGCATTAATTAGTTGAAGCAAAATTTGATCAACAGCATGGTTCGTCTGAGCCGCGACAATAATTACATTGCTACCTTTCTCTTGGCTTTCCAGAAGGATCCGCAGAGCCTGCACCGAGGTAAATGTCTTCCCAGTCCCAGGAGGACCCTGAACGATAGCCAACTCTTTAGTGAGGATACGATGTACAGCACTGAGCTGAGAATTGTCCAGATTGGTATACCGAGAAATCTGGCCGTCAAAGCCTTCGAGCACAGAGTAGTTCCGAAGAGGCTCACACACCTCGGCCATCTTTGCGTGTTTCTCACTCTCCGTCATTGACGAGGAATCTGGGATGTGATGCACGAGTGACCTAACATCCCGGAGAGGATTATCTTCGACGTACTTTGCAAGGAGATCACTCTTGTCTGCCTGGACCAAGTACTTATCAAGCGGGGTCTCGTTGTTGGCGACGTGCTGTAGGCCAACCATGCTATGACGAACAGCTTCAAAATAACCATAACGCGTCTCTACCATGATTAGTTCTTGGTTCGGATCCATAATGGCATCGCTAAGATTAGCCCATTGAAAGTAAATTGTTGGTGGATTTTGGTCGAGTCCATCTCGAATGCGGTGTTCCGAGATGATAGCGGGCATACAGATCGTCTTAAAATGATCTTTTGCGGTAGAGATGGCGACCAAGGTTCCGACCGTGAGTCGTCGGGTCTGACTCCAGCGGATCTTCTTGCCAGATCTCTCAGTCGAGAATTGGACCTGGCACATAGGACCAAGGCGGGTCATCAAGTAGCCTGTGACAAAAACCTTCAGACGAGCAGCTAGTTAGTTAACGTAAGGCTACCTGGCGACTCCGGGAGAGGCGCACGAGGCTTGACTTACTTTAGTGTAGATACATGTCTCTCCGTCATCCATCATGGCAGGTTCATCTTTCAGTTTTCTAATCGAGTGGCGTAGCATAGTGATACTTTCTTCCCTCTGGAGACGGTAATGCGTCTCGAGATAAGTATTCTTGTTCTTCCATGGCTCTCTCCATGTGTTAGGCAGAAGATTTCGTATCTCGGCCACTTGCTCCTCATTATCCCAATCGGGGTTGAGGTCCCGACTCGTAGGTAATTCGGGGTAGCTTCGCCATTCTTGACCGGGGATAGGAGGTGGGCGGTCCTGGTCAAAGTTGATATGGTGCTTAATGGTGTCTAACTCGCGCTAAGCGTACCTATCATTAGCACACAGTAAAAACCATTAAGCAACGGCAGTGCGAAAACACACCTGAGTATCAGCACCATCGGGGCTGCTGAAGTCGCCCATGGCTGCCTAGTTATTAAACCCTCCTGGGTAGTCGGTAGTGCTTGAGGAGATATCGTGCCTGAAGTATCGGGGTAGTGTGATTAAGACCTGAGTGCTCGATGCCTATTGGTGAGAAAGCATCTACTGAAGTCAAAGTAAAAGCCTCTACGCAGGGAGGAACGATCCCAATGATGGTCAGAGGCTGAGGCGGAAAAACAAACACGAAAGGGGGGAAGGAGAGGAGAAAAAATAAATGCATAAAACGAACAGATTGGATCAATGGAACGTTTAGTCGCGTCTAGGACGGTTGCCTTGATATTTTATTGTTGCCCTGCTGTTGCCTTGTTATTGACGACGGGATTGCCGCAGTTGCTTCGATATTGAGTGCAGTTGTTATTTTTGCCCTCGTACAAGTACCTAAACAACCTTAGTAAACAAGGAAGTAGCTTACGGTTAATAGGGATGTATACTTTAGGTACTTGAAAGTAGGAGGTACTCTACAAATATTACATGTAAGGCTACCCGTGTACCTTCCTTAAGTGCTTAGGTTGGTATGTAAACAAGGTACCCAAGGTACTGTAGGTTAAGGTACCTACCATGTAAGTGTCTTATGCATATGCCTTATGAGCTTTAGACACCCGAGGTGGGTAGAGAAATTACAGCAAGTTGCTTTGAAATGCTCAAACCAAAAACTTACCTCATTATCTTTCACTGGGTACCTACATTTGGTACATATCATGCCTCAAATATGCAGCACATTTAGCAAACACATCGGCATCCCACCTATCTTCTCTTTGTTAAGTTCATTAAATTAAAACAGGTAGGTATTATGTCTTAGATGATATTGTAGAGATCGAATAACGAAAGGTTACGAAACCTCATCACCCGGCTATGTAGACAGACAAACTTAACTTTACGTGTTTGTGAGTACCTAATGTTTGCAATGTACAGAGCTATGGAAGTGTTTGTCCCAATGGTCATGTCTTTATCAAATACAAGAAGTGCAAACTGAGTGAAGTAATATAACACCGTTTATGTGTATCAAGGTGTATTATATCTTCATTATTAGTTTATTTAAATAAGATCATCCGTGAACGTTAAAAATACGCCTTTCAAATATAACCGTAGGATCATGGCCACTGCGGTTCGGTTATGTGCTTATAAGATACTATTATCTTATGTGAGGTGAAGTTACTAGTAATGGGAATTTCTTATTAAAAACACGGTGTCGAAAGTGAGTGTTTCTCTCAGTTATGTTCATCCACGAAGATACCTAGGTACCTACCATGGTTGTCGTCAAAGTCGTAGAGCTGGCTCGAATAACAGGCCAACATATCGTTCACAAAAATCTATCATTTCCTCATATAATACCAGATCTACCTTCTTTAAGTGCTTTGGGTAATTTATACTTCTCCCCAATTCTATTTAGGTAAATCTCTATTGTGGTATGGTTTAACTAACCTAGTCAATTACCATGTAATGTTCTTGGCTCGCTTGATATCTTACGTTCGTCGTTGCTATTGTTACTTGCCAAGAACATGTTGAATATATTGGTATATAAGACATTCGGTATCTAGGTCCCCAGGTACCTAGGTATGCGCTCTATTAATCACACCATCACCTCACCCCAACTAGGTGGTCGATCTTCTAATTTGGTGCCCCATTCAGACTCCTGGCTTCCAAGCACCAGTTCCATCGTCCACCCCTCGTTAAAAAGGGAGTGGCCGATCCAAGATTTAGTCCACGGTTTGCCGTTTACTGTCACGTTCTGTATGTAAATATTTTTGTATCCGGCATCGAATCCGACGGTTTTGATCTGTGCCGTCTTCCCCGTCAGAGGACTCGTTATGTTGACCTCCCGAAAAAATGGCGCCGAAATGAGGTACACATCTTGCCCAGATATCGGGAAGAGGCCTATCATCCCAAATACGACGAATGCGCCCATCGAACCTGAATCATCATTTCCGGGGAGTCCCCCGTGGGACGTGTTAAATGCCGACGGGATATAGGTGTGTAGCCGTTTAGTGGATAGCCCAGGACGACCGGCATAATGATACAAATATACCGTAGAGAAAACGGGCTCATTAGAGATATCAGCTAGTCCTGACGCGTGAAAGAAGTCGAGGCGCTGAATAAATGGCTCTTCGGTCCCCATTAGCTCGATTAAGGCAGACATCGACTGTGGGACAAGGCTGTTGAGTTTGTCAGCCATATGGAACGCTTCGCCTGGAATAAATCTGTTACTTACAACTGGTATTGCCAAATACTGTCGGGTTGGGAATCAGTAACCACCATATTTAGTACTTTAATTAAGAGCATATGGAAAGAAATGGGTCACTGTATAAATTCCCGCACACTCTCTCACTTTAACCAAGAAGATAGTATACTTGAGATACTCACCTGGCCTCAAAGGTCTCACTAGGATTGGTGGTGAGCGAGCAAAAGCTTGCAAGCGCCGAACATGCAATCGGGTCTTGAAATCCCCAAGTACCGTTTTGGTACTTTGGCTCCACGAAGCCCGTAAATCCAGTATCATTTCCATCGATAACCGAGCGCTGGTCTGACTTCCATAGGTACTGCCAGTTAGCACTTCTCAGAACATACTTATCGTATAAATCATCTCTCCCGAGCCCTCGCGCTAATGTGGCGAGACAATAGTCATTATATGCGTATTCGAGCGTCCTCGAAATACTGCGCGAGTTAGTACCGAATCCTACCGGATCAAAATCTAGGTAAGGAATATATTGGAGATCCTTCCAGCTCCGTAGGCCACCCCGGCCGTGATATGCCCATTCCAATGGTTCAACTTCGGCGTCCTGGATGATAGCCTCGAGCGCGACGTCCCAGCTGATGCCTGTAAGATTTTTGACGTAAGCATCGACAAGTACAACATCTGCATTTGAGCCACCCTGTAATATGAGATAGTAAGTATTTCATACGTATAAAAGTTTAACGAGAAAAGAAGTGAAATCAGAGGTAATTCGATAGACACTGATGTTAATGAATAAATCCAGATTCCCTTACCTGGGTCCAGCCGTTGCTGAGTGACCTGGATACGTAGGATGTTGGGTTAGTTTAGTCTTGCGTAAATTGATCCAAGTAATAACATCTTACATGTGACAATCGGGTAGCCAGCCCTCGTGCTTATAAATATCTAAAAGCGAGTTGACCATCTGAATTTGCGCGTGTGGATCAAGGATGGTGAGGAGCGGATGCTGAACGCGGAACGAATCCCAAATACAATAAAATGAGTCGAAGTATGGTATCCCACTATTCCAGTACGGGTTTTCGTCGGTATAGTTCTGGGGAGAGATCATAGTGCGATACAGACCGCTCCAGAAACTAGTTTGGAATTCCTCACTCGCACCGCCAGCATCAACAGATATCGGGCTCAACTTCTCTCGCCACGCATCTTCCGCATCGGACACGAGTCCGTCGAAGTCGTTAAGCGGGCTGGGAATTTCCTCTGCTGCCCGCCGGCAAGCCTGATCAGCACTTACGAAACTTATTCCCATCCTAGCGGTTAAGGTATTGTTAGCCAGGTTGCTGAATCCAACCCACCCGCCGGCTTCTAAATAGAAGAGGTTGAAACCACGAGTGACGAAAAGTTCTTTCGGATCCGTGCCTGCTCGATTATTGACCCATACCCCATTTTCAATGACATCGCCGCCAAAGAAGTCCACGCAGAAGTGCATCACGTACGACCCAGGTCCGAAACTAGGGAGGAATGTGCCATTTCCCTTCAGCCGCCCGCTTTCGGCGTCTACGCTAACTGAAGCATTTTGGCGGCTTTTCCATAGGTCCGTCAAATCGAGTAGCATTAGGGGATACTGATCATCCCCTGTCGGAAATTCGAACTTATATAATGCAGCGTGATCGCTAGAGGTCATTGTGGCCTTTATCCCCGAGACCAATTCCACCCCGAAGTAGCCCGGTCGAGCAACCACCGAATCCTCTATGTAGTGAGTGGCCCTCTCGCTTATGAGGAAGTTACAATTATTCACGTCACCCCCAGGACATATCTGAGGGAATAAAGGAAAGTTTCCTAGGCTAGGGTTCCCGCCCGTGCCGCTGTCATGAGCTGCTGAGAAGCCCGTGATACTTGAGCCATCGGTTGCGAAACCCCCGGTATTCTGTCCATCCACATCCGCGACAGGCTTTGCCAAAGCGTATGGCCCTGCAATGTTGTGTTTAGTAGATGTCTACTGGGAAATAGGAGGACATACTTGTGGCACCCGCGAATACATTTCCGCCGTTAGTGCTACCAATAAGAGGATCCACGAATTGGAGCACATCGACACAGAGTGCAGCGAGAGGAAAGATCGTGGAAAAAAGGTAAATAAGTTGCGGGGTCACGAAAGACAGTTGCCGACATGCCATCATAAGCCAATAAGGACCGCTATGGTAGGACTATGAATGATATATCCTTACTGCAAAAATCGATGCAAAAGAGAAAATCAAAGCCGGCAAGTCCAGAATAACACTGCGTCAAATCTACTCCCTAGACGGTGGCGTCTTGCGACCTTCCTGAAATGGGTGACCTCACGAAGGTTACCTAAACGGCCATGCGGTGATCTTCATAATTGTGGAGAGCACTGATATTCTAGCATTTGAATAAAGATTATCTACCTGTCTACCTACCAAGTAAGTAAGTATTCCTTCCTACGGAATGCAGCGCCCCAAGATGAACACCAGTCCAAACGAATTAGAAGAGTGCGAAGAGACGAGCTAGTATAACATTGAATATCCCCAGGGTTACCTAGCTTATCCATATGGGAGTATTGTTAATACCTCTTACATTGATATAACACACCTAGTGCGCTGCTTTGACTATAATACGTAGTACCACGCTCGTGAGGGGTTATAAGCAAGGGACTTGTCCACGGAATCCGGTAAATAAATGACTTACCTACCTACCTCTTAAGGTACATTATTTAACAACAGCGTAAACAATGTCTTTTCACGGCGATTCTGGTAGGCGATTAAGATTTCGCTATTCAAACCAAATGCAATTAAGAAGA